AGCCTATTAATGTGAGACAAAGCCATATGTGTGAGTTGGAAACCCTGCTTATGTACATGTTTTCAGGTGTTTTTTTTTTAAATACTGAACTATGCTTGCTTCCCCCCTATAGTTGTATCTGCACGCAAAAATGTTCAGACTGAAAGTACAGCTAACTCATCAGAAAGTAAGTAATTTAATATAATTACTGATACATCCATAAAGTTTCATTCATTGGTATTTGTCTCTCCTGAGATATTAAACAGTGTTTTGTCACTTAGCTTGTAAGCGCTGGGGTATAAAAAGTATTAAAGTTGACATTTAACATATTTTAGGGTCACTTAACTAGTTGCTTATTGGCATGCACTTGAATATTAGCCATTTATTAGACTAATTAAGCACATATTGTTGGCTTATCTACATAACCTTATGCTACATCCCTAATCCTACCCAATACCTAAACTTAACAACTACCTTAACTACTAACTATTGATAAGGAGCCAATTAGGAATTTGAGGGAAAAGTTGTAATTAAGTTATAAAGTGTACTCAATTATTATAAAGTGTTGCCATATTAAAGTGTACTCAAGTGAAAGTATACGTACTGTGTACACATTTTCTAAATGAATTACATTTTGATTATATATTTTGGTTTTGCAAAAAAAAAAAAACTCATAGATGTGCTCTAATAACTTTGGTATATGTAGCTATTTTCCATTACAAATATCAACATGAATAGTATAAATATTATGTAAATACGCAGGTCAGTTTGCATAAAGACAAAGTAAAATTTAGGACTTTTTTTATCTTTACAATGAAAAAAAAAAAAATTAATTAAATGACTGGTTATGAGGATTGAAAACGGTTGGCTTCTGACATAAGCCATTCTTCCCTATACAGAAATGAAGTTAATCGAAATGCCGGTTTCATGCCAACTTTTAAACTCTGCCTGTTTCTTTGTTCAAATGCTGTATTTTAAGTTGTTTTGTTGATGTTGTTGTTGGTTTCAGGACTTCAGCCTGCAATACAGCAAACCAGTGAAACAGGAGGTTTGTTTGTACCCTTTTCTACATTGCTATTTAAGAAATATGTAAACATTACAGAAAAAATGGGAAAAGAATTGCTGGATTGAAATGTTAATTTAGATATTTCATTTGTGTAATTTGGTTCACAGAAATGTGGCTGTTAATGTGTAGGGTGTAAATTATGTATTTTGACTTAGGCCTAATTCAAGTAGGCCACATTTTTCTTATTCTGCTTTCAGCCAAGTTGCATGTTTCTGATTTCTCTTTTATTAGGTGCACCCACTTTGCAGATTGCTCTTGACAAAGCAAAACTAACAATAGAGATGCAAAAGCAGAAGATTCTTCATCTTCAGGAAAAAGTTGACTCCCTGACAGATGACAAAAATTTTCTCAGAGCAAGATTAGAGGATGGTGAGTATTAAGGTCATGAACTTTAAGAACAATTCTGGCAGTCCGTAAGTTACAACTTGTAATTAGAAGTAATTTTATTTAAATAACTTATTCCTAAATTAAATGTGGTAAAGTCTTTACCTGTAGTTTTGTTCTACACTTATTTTAAATTGTTCTTTGTCATAGCACTTCTGAGGCATGAAGCCGTAATGTCTCCTGGACAGGCACTGTCTGCATCTTCATCCAATACTGCTGCATCCAAGGAGAAGGTGTCCAGTGATGAATCTTCTGATTCCTCAGAATCTTCAGATTCATCAGATTCCGAACCAAGAACAAAGAAGAAGAAAAAGGATAAAAAACGAAGAAACAAGAAAAAATCCAAGAAACTGAGGGTTGATTTTAGAAGAGGTATGTTTATTCAATCCAAAATATTAAAAGGTATAGTTCAACCAGAAGTGAAAATTAAGGTTTTAAAGGCGCAGTATGTAAGAAAAAAATAAATAAAATAATTAATTAATTAAAATAAAATATCCCAAAAACACTAGCGCAGTGTTTTTTATATATATATATATATATATATATATATATATATATATATATATATATATATATATATATATATATATATATATATATATAAAATATAAAAATAATTCTCACCTTTATCGGACTTGTACAACATTCTTCTTCCTTCTTTCCCCTATAGTAAAAAACCCTGAAGACTCCATCAAACGCTACCACAAAGTGTTACACCTGGTAAATGGTGGCTTCACTAAAGCTGAAGCGTACAACAAAATTAATGTTGACAGAAACACAATTGTCATGCAAGCCCCCATTGCTGAGTTGGCAGTTGCAAATCCCGAAGAATACAAAGCAGTGAGAGCCACTTTTAAAATGGGAGAAAGCATCCAAAAATTTTCTGATGTCTGTCTTGCAAGGTGCCTGGCTCAGCCTAATGTAGACATGATAAAAAAATTGAAAGAGAGCAGTGCCCTTCTTGATATATCAAAGAAGTGAGGTATACTTGTTGCTTAAAGGGATAGTTCACCCAAAAATTAAACTTTTCATTTACTCACCCTCAAGTAGTTCCAAATCTGTATGAGATTTTTCTTCTGCTGAACACAAGGGAAGCTATTTGGACGAATGTTTGCAACCAAGCAGATCTTGGGCACCACTGACTGCCATAGTAGGAAAAAATGCTATGGTAATCAATGGGGGCCGAGATCTGCTTGGTTGCGAACATTCTTCCAAACAGCTTCATTTGTGTTCAGCAGAAGAAAAATCTCATACAGATTTGGAACTACTTGAGGGTGAGTAAATGACAAGTTTAATTTTTGGGTGAACTATTCCCTCAATATTCTAACAATGTTTTGTTAATATTGTTAAAAAAAATAAATAAAAAGTTATGCGTAGTTGTAAAGTTGTGTAATGTTACTGTTATTAGTGACCATTCTTCAAACAGTTTTAAAATATTGATTTCAGTTTTGCATATGTTTTAGGTTGAGTTTTATGAAAAATCAAGAGGCAAGTTGTATATTAAAGGTGCACTGCCATTTAAACCTTTGTAAAATAAAAGGTGTGTTTTACCTTTTCATTTCTGTGCTTTGTGGGTTTTTTTTACATGCTGATGAGTATGTAATTTAAACTAATCATTTTGGATATACTGGTGCAAAATAAGGCACATTATTGCCAACTCATTATTGATTACGTATAAAGTAACATGAATTCATGAC